CGGAAGGTGATGGTCTTGCCTTCTCAGAGGAAAGAGGCCCAATGTCCCCCTTCTCTGTGGTAGCAACGGTAATTTTATGGTTGGGGGCCACCACAACATGAGGAACTGTATTAAAGGGCCGCGGCGTTAGGAAGGTTGAGAACCACTGCTCTAGAGTCTAAGCTCATAATACCCATCCTGAGGTGCCCAGGCAGTCCCCCTCCTCTCGCCTCCCAGCCTCCTCCACCACTTGCTCTATGGCCACTCCTGCCCCCTGCAGTCCTCGGTGCTCAAGGCACAGAGATGGGCACGTAGTGACTGCTCAGCAGTTACTTCCTGGATTGAACAGCTGGTGTCAACTTTGAATGGGGTTCCCCCATCCCAGAGAGCGAGAGAACTTTGAGGCATGTAGAGGTGAGCCGAGATGGGACCCTCTCCATGCGGCTTTGAGAAGTACCCCGAACAGACCCACGGGTTGCCCTTGGACCGCCACTGGCCTCCTGCCATTGTCCAGATTCTCCAACAGGCTCAGAGGAAGGACTCGTTCACTGTGTGAGAATCCCCAGCCTGTCACCACTCCTCTGTCCACACAGTCTCGGAGCAACTGGTTGAGTCAGTGGGGGGTGAGGGGAGGACACCCTCTCTGGTGCTCACTTGTCTTATGTTTTATCCTGGTTAACTCTGTGTCATATTGTGTAGGCAGGGTCCACTCAGAACTGCTTATTCTTTTGCCTTTTTGCCCAGAGAATGGAAGCTCATCTCATTACTAGGCGTGCCCTCTAATCACAAAAGTTTTTCTTGGAAAAAAAAAAGAAAAAGAATCCTGGCAATTCCTTATCCAGTGGTCATGCATTCTCAACATACGAGCTATCAAACAGACCATCTCTATGCGACGCCATATTTTCAAAGCCAGAAATCGAGATACATAGTTGGACAAAAAGTTATTAAACTACTTCCATAACCAAATTATGGTTCCTGCAGATGTGGGCTTGTTGGCAAAAATATTAGCACTTCAAGGGCATTGCAATGATTTGTGGAAGCCAGGTGATAGTATACTTGAAATTGGGACAGTACCGGGAAATCCAGAATCTACGTGGTCATACCATCAAAATACAGACTGTTCGTGGGTGGCATTTTGCCGAGCCATCCCGGAGGCGTGGGAAACATAGCTCAAACTCTGTAACAATAGGTTTGTGAAAAGCCTTCAAGCCGGGTCTGTGGCCTGCTTATTGGAGCCCTGTCTTAGGATCCAAATCCTAGTTGTCAAACAGGTGCACAGCGCCCCCGCTCGGCGAAGCTGGTTCTGCTTTCCTGGATGGGACCTATGACGCGATAGCCGAGACCTCAGCACCAAGGACAGAGCTCACTTGATTGGCGAGTCCTCTTCCGGGTCTCAACTCTGCAAAACAGGACCTTTTTGTGAGTTCAAAATGAAACCTCCGAATACGAGTGCAAGAAACAATTCGGTAGTTGGCCATTTTCGTCTTACTGAGGACGCCTCTGAGCTCGTGCCCTGCCCCGTATTGAGACCTGGAGTGGCACTCAGATGGTCTTCTTGCTCCTCTACAGAGAGCGCCCCTGAGCTGTCAGGGCTCAGCCAACCTTAGTGCCAAGAGTGGATCTATCTGCGGGGAGGGAGGGAGGCAGGAAGTACGGAGGAGAGAAATTAGCCCGTGGCTCCTCAATCGGGAACACTTTGCTTATTACCTTCTGGGCGTGCGAGCAGTTGGAAAGAGAGGACAGGTAATGAAGCACAAGTAAGTGGGTTGTTCCTGCCAAGATCACAGCTTGAGAGAAGGGATGGCAGATGGGGAGCCCCAGCCGGCCAAACCCAGGACTGAGGACAGGGCGTGGAGACCATTCCCCAACCCCAGACCTCAGCTAGTCAGCAGCACACGCTGAGGCCCCAGCAGACGTGTACAGTAGTAATTCTTGGGGTCAAGCAGGCGTGGCCCCTGCCCTCAGAGATGCACTCAGCCACGTGCCCTGTCTCTGCCCAATCGGCCACCCCACAGGGAGGACAAAGCCATGCCCTCCCCAGTGTGAACCCTCCCACGTGGAGCAGGCGGGGGACTGTGAAATTGGACAACTTGTGTAAACTCTCTGAGCCCGAGCGTCCAATTGGGTGAAGGGAGCAGGTTGGACTAGAGGGGCTGGAAGCATCCTTCCTGCATCTCCATCCCAGGAAGGTCTTTCTAAGGGAGATTCAGCAGGGGGGGGAGGGGGGGCCTGGAAAGATGCTGTAAGGTAATGAGTCTCCGCGCCTCCCTCCCCCAACTTTTCCTCCTAAGCAGGAGCGGTCACTCCTGCGATCGCACCAGAGATGTATATATGCCTGGGTAACAACCCAGCCATGGAATTGGAAGAAAAGATGGGGGTTAATGCGGAGGCTACTCGAGGCCTGTTGGCTGGGCATCAGAAGGCAGCTTTTATTCTGATGAGCTCGCTGCCGACAGGACTCTAGCCCTCGCCCTCACAGACGGGTGAGCTCAAATGCCATCAGGATCCCAAATCAAATTGGATCAAGTTTTGGATCCTGATTAGAAACCCAAGACCAGAATGCCAATTAAATCAAAAGGAGCAATATAGCCGTCAAAGGGCTTGGAAACTTACCCAAGCCGACTGCAATGTCTCCGCGGGAGCCAAATTATAGAAACATGGAGGAATCGGCCAATACGAGTTAATTAAATTATGTGATTGCTTAATGGCACCAGGCTCTCCTGCTCTGCCATCGCCAGCCACCGTGAGGTTCACCGCCAGCACATCAGCTCCCCTCCCCCCACGACACCTGCCAGACAGGCTCCACCCAGCCGGGGAGGTGGGCCCGGCTGTTTCACGGGCTGGTTCCCCTTCCTTCTGCTCCCGTCTCTGACTCATTTCTCTTCTGACACTTACTTGGTGAGTGTGAATACATTTCTTTGCCATCGAGTCTCTTTGGTCTTGTTGGCATTCTCTTTCTTGAAGGTTATTTTGTGTCTCTGACCCGTTAACTATTGGTCACATAGTCGGACTATGACCTGTTTGCCAAGTTTGGGGATTGGAGGAGGGATGCTGTATCGGTAGATAGTGTAATATCACAGACCACCCTCAGACTCAGGCTCCCAACCAGGGTCACGTATGATTTCTCCTGCGCTGTGGGTCTGCTGATCCCAGCCAGGCCTGCTCCTGTCCCTGGGGGTCTGCTGGGAATCTCTGAACTGAGTTGAGCTCAGCTGAGGCCACTGGGGTCTTCATGGCTCTTCCCCTCCTTGGACCAGCAGGCTGGCCGAGTGCTGTTGGAAGCTGAAGGCTTGGAACTGGCACCCTGTTACTCCCACCTCCTTCTATTGGCCAAAGAAGTCACATGGCTGGACCCAGCGTCAAGGGCCAGGGGGAACTACAGAGTCACACGACAAAGGGCATGGATACAGAGAGGAGTAAAGAACGGGGCCAATGACACAGCTGCCACAGGCACCTCGCCCCTGCCGCCTGCATCTCCTCCTGGCGTGACCACCCCAACACTGCTCGCACACGTTCTAGTTCGCGAGCATCTTGATGCATTCGGTCTCATCTGATCCTCAAAGAAGCCTCCTAAATTAAACCGCGGCCTTCCTGCTTCGCCAGGAAAGGAATTTCAGTTTCGCACCGTAGCAGATGGCGAGTCCCCGAAGAGTGTTGAGGAGGAGAGTGACAGATCTGATTTGCATACGGAACAGTCACTTAGGGTGCTGTGTGGAGAGAACACTGGAGGGAAGAAGGAGGAGAAACTGGTACAAAGGCCACTTCAGAGCATCGGTGGCCAGACAGACCACGAGGGAGGAGGGCAGAGAGGGGGGGTGCTGGGGAAGCAGAAATGAGAGGGGTGGGTGATTACCTAGAAGAGGGGCTGGGGTGCGGGAGGCAGTCAGAAATGGCCCCTGGTTTCTAATAAGACGGGACTCATGCTCAGTGAATCTTTGTTATATAGTAAATGAAAAAAATAAATGAAGAGTTGGCATGAGGGTTACATAAAATCGCATTTGTAAAGTACAATGTCTAGCACATAGTAAGCACTCGGAACGGGATTAACTCTGGTCTCAGAGAAGGTCCTAGGTTAGCAGCCTTTCTACAGGGCAAGACGATCTTCTATGTAGCTCTCCCCCCTCCTCCAGTCCCCCCTCCACACTCCAGTTCCCATAAAGGATGGGCCAGCATCCTGGTCCTGACCCCGAGGAGGCACTGCCAGGGCTGGGTCACTGGACGAAGGCACTGACCCAAACAGGTCTGGGTTCGTCAGCCTTTTCACCAAGACCTTGCCAGGCCCACCAGAACGGGCGATGGGTCCTCATCTTAACCCAGGGGAGAGGGAGATACCGGGTCCAGGGGTTTGCTCCGTGAGCCATGGGGTGGGCAGGCGACTGCGGGTTGGCATCGCTTGCTCACAGTAAGGGGTTACTTTTCAACCCCTACCCCAGCCAAGTCAGCCGTACTTGGAATAAGAATGTTTAAGAAAAGGTTCAACTTGTTGAGACTGTAATAGTTGTTTTTATTTTTTAATTTTTTGTTAATCCTCACCCGAGGATATTTTTCCATTGATTTTTAGAGAGAGTGGAAGCGAGAGGGGGAGACAGAGAGAAACATCGATGTGGGAGAGACACATCCATTGGTTGCCTCCCCAGGATCCAGCCTGCAACGGAGGTACGTCCCCTTGACTGGAATCGAACCCGAGACCCTTCAGTCCTCAGGCGGACGCTCTATCCACTGGGATAAACCGGCTGGAGCATTGTTTTTATTGTTACACTCTTCTATTTTTCACTGTTTTTCTATTGTGGATGTGTAGTTTTAAAAAATAGAAAAAAAACATTAAAAAAATAAAGATGAAAGGTGGGGCCGCTAGCTAGAGAGGAGGCTCACTGGTTCTTGTCAACCAACCAAGGCCCAGGGGAAGCCTCTCCCACCAAACCCCTCGGCCAGGAGCCACAGCCTTGGCCATGGGCCTGGGGACGCTCCCTCCGTGCTATTGGTCAGCCCTGGCCCCGCCCCGCCCACCTCCCCCACAGGTTAATCTCATCGACATTCTCAGGTGCCTCCTGCCGCCCGGAGCGAGGACCCAGAGATGGCTAAGCCCTGGCCCGCGGCCCGGAGGTGCTCGCTCGCTCGGAGAGACCGTTCAGGACCGGCCTGCTGTCGGGGACCTGGCCGGAGCCGAATGTTCGCTCCTCCGGCAGATGGGCATGGTGGGGCCGCGGCCAGAAGGCAGCGCCTGCGGGACGCCGCACAGAACGGACTTGAGGTCACCACCCCCGCCTTCCGGGAGAAGCCAAACTGGAGACTCACAGCGCCCCGGACCTGACCCGAGGACGGAGACCCCCGGTGCTGTGCCTGCCCCTGAAGCACCTCCTCTTTCCACCTCGGGGCTCAGCCCCCCATCGCGGCCCTAGTTGCACTGTGAGGGCCTCGTTTCATTAGAGCGCCCCCTCCAGGACGCCGGTGAGAATGCACCCCCGCACAAGCACACCCTCCCCAGAGCGGGGCCTCTCCCTCCCCAGGGTCACACCCTTGAAGGTGCCACTCTTGGAAGATGGGTCAGTGGGTTGTTTTGTGAGGGTTTGAGGGAGCAGGGCCTCCTGAGGGGACCGAGCTCCCGTCTGCCTTCCTCCGACTACAAACAGCCTCTCAGAACGCGATCCAATGTGCTTTCCCCCAGTTTAATGAAAATCAGTCTCACCTGAGACCCAAGGCCAGCGCTGGGCCAAGGCCTCGCAGGTGGCTCCTTCCGCAGGGGCGCTGCAGCCTCGTGGAATGAGCCTCCTTCCCACGGGCGGGAGGGGGGCCCTCGCCGAGCAAGACCGAAATGCCGCTCTGCAAAGTCTCGGGGCATCAATATTTCATGCCTCTGGAGCTGTCTTTGTTTTTATGCAAATTGCTCGGGCTGCCAGATGGGCCAGGGCTGGCGGGCAGCCTCATCCATCACCAGGCAGTTCCCTCCTCCCCACCCTGCGACCGCCAGGGCCTGGCAGCCTGGCCCCGGTGCGGCCCGTCCTCTCCCTCCATCTGCACAGCGGCCACAGCCCTGTCCTGGACACTGGGGACACAGAGGCAGCCCGAGGCCAGGTTGCTGCCCTGGGGGCTCACAGGTGGAAGGACCTCATGGCGGGCGGGAGGGGAAGCAGCTGTCACTTCAGCGCCCGGCTCTGCAGCTTCCTTTTTCATCACAAGGAGCCTGTGAGGCGGGCGGAAGGGGGCTCCTGTCCCAGCTTGCCAGTGAAAAGCCCAGGTCCCCCAGCAAGTCAGTGGCAGAGCTGCTCCAGGCGCCCTCCAGCCGCCCAGTCCTCCTCTCATCCAACCCCTCATGAGCTGTGATCTGGAGGCGCTGCCCCTCCTGGCCCAGCTGCCCCTGGCCTGCCTGGCTCCGGCCTCTGTGGCCTCCGTCCCCACAGCTGGACCCTGACCTCACTAGCAGCCCTGGCCCCGCCTGGCTCCGAGCCTTGGCCCACCTCCGAGGGCTTAGCCACGGCCGCTCCTCCAGCGTGGGGTCTGCCTTGCTCCTGCCAGTTCTTGCCCCCTCGAGATCAGGAATGAGAGACACCCCAATGCTGACTCTTACCCGGTGGCTCCGCCTAATGCTGTGATTCCACGGGGGCTCTGGGCTCTGCCTCTTAGCTGGAGTCACACTCCCTTCGCAATTGCCCAGCATGGCATCCTTCCTACAAGTACTGCCCGCCTGTCTCCCCCCAGGCGGTGGGTTTAGTCGCACCAGCCGGCCCCAGTCTACCCTTTGGGCCCAGTAGCCCCAGGCTACCCCTTGGGCCCCGTGTCCCTGATCGTGCGAAGACAGGCCCCAGTCACAGCACTCAGTCCTGCCCGGTCCTTCCCACAGGCCCAGGGTTCCAGGGCAGTAACCGCGATGCAGGTGACACTCAGGGCAGGGCCCTCTGAGCTCACAGCCCTGGGTCCAGGGGCAGAGCCTGCAGGGATTGCTGGGCTCCTGCGATGTCACCAGGCTGGAGTCAAAGGCTGCTTAGAACAGCGCTGCCCGGGGAACTCGGGGGACCTGCCAGGAACTCCCAGGGGGACCCTGGCAAGTCATAGGCCTCTGCGTCTGCATCAGTGACGGCCAACGTCCCGTCTACGCCCCTGAATCTGCAAACCAGCGGTCGCGATGCTAATCACTCTTCCCCTTGCTGCCTCTCCCCTAGGTCAGGGTCGGACTGCGATGGAATAAATGGCCACGTCCTCAGTGCTGGGATGGCCAGCGCCCTTCGCCCAAGCCCAGCAGCCGGGCAGGGCCTGGATGCCCCCCATCCCTGCTGCTGGGAGGGGGTTCCCGCCCTGGGAGGGGCTTCCTGCCCGAGAGGGGCTGCAGCAGACCTTTCGACATCTCCTGATTCCAGAGCTCCTATCTGTGTCTGCGCCTTGTCGAAGAGGCAGTAGCCACCTCCGCGGCCTGCCCTGTGACTGCAGTGTTCCCCGTCTCCCCGTATAACAGCCTCGCCAGGTAAACAGCAAACTGCCCTTTACATCCGAGGAGTTCGGGGAGGCCAAGAGCAAAAAGGTGTGGGCCCATGAGTCAGAAAGGTTCAGAGACGCCCCAGGTCTGTCTGAGTCCAGAGCCGCTCTCCGATGCTGCCCGGAAGGGACCCTGCTGTCATGTCTCGTGGGGGCGGGCCATCCCTGAGCTTGGAGTCTGCAGGCAAACCAGGCTGTTGCATGCACCCAGCCTTCCTGTGCGCGTGCCGTTGTGCATATGCCGAGTGTACCGTCTCCGTACTCTCGTCCCAGCTTTGAGGGACCCCATTTATCCTACGAGACTCAGCCCAGGCCGCTCGGGAGGGAGGAGAGCTTCCCTCCTCTGTGCTCTGCAGCAGATGCTCATGTCCCACCTCCCCACCCCACCTCCCCACCACCCCTGCAGCTGCTCAGAGCTGGGTGCTGGGCCCACAATAGCTCCTGATAGGTCCACTCTACAGTCATAGGTCCACACCTATTGCTTTTGCGCCCCCCTCCCCTCCCCCCATTACCTCTCTGTCTCCACCTGGGAGCACAGTGCAGGGCAAACATGCGCTTGTAGGAAGAGAGCCTGCTCGCAGTGCTGTCCGCTGTCCGCAGCGCTCAGTGCTGAGGGAGGGAGCAGGGCCTCACTCTGGGCGGCTCAGGCCTGAGGGCCGTTTGTTCCCTGGCCTCAGAAAGCAGCTTCCTATTCACCCCCACGTGGCCTCACCCGCCCCCCTCTGGGCCGCCTCTCCCCTGCCAAGCCTCGCCCCAGGGCACACAGTTGGGGTGGTCCAGGCGTCGCTGAGTGTGCATGGCCCTGCCTGTCCCTTTGCCCCCGAAACTGGAGTGCGGGAGTTTAGGTCAGAAGGGCAAGCCCAGCCCAGGCCCGAGGGGCCCCGGGATCTGATCAGGGAGTTGTTTTTCATGGCTCGGTGTCCAGTGGATCGAATGGAGGTCCAGGCCGCTGCCCGCTCCCGGCTGGTGGTAACGGAGCCAGAGGTCAGAGTGGGGAGCAGGGAGATCAGGTTCTTGGGAGGGAGCACGCGGGACTGTGTCACTGGCCTGCATGACACGGGGAGGGGGCCGGGGACATGTCCAGGTGGGGGGGCCGGGACGACCGGGAGGTCAGACCTCAACGGGGCAGCATGAGAAACAGGACTTTAGGCAGACTGTGATCCAGGGAGCTGGAGCCGTTCCAGGGAGCAGGGAATTCGGGGCCCAGCAGGCAGGGTCAGGACCCCACCTCGCCTCTAACTCAAGCAGGGCAGCTTCTCTTGGTTTTGTGTTTGGACTTTCATGCAAAATGTCCTTTGAAGAGAGAAAGGGTTGTGGTGATGAGGAGGAGGAGGAGGGGGACTTGGAGTCTCAGAGAGGTTAGGCAGTTTGCCTAAGGTCACACAGCTAGTAGCAGAGCCTAGATTTGGGCCCAGGCGGTCGGCTCCAGAGCCTGTGCTAAACCACTGTGTTGTGTTGCCTCAGAGCGAAGAGGGCTGTTGGCAAGGTGACCAGCTAGTAAATGTAAAACTCATCACGTCTTATAACCAGTGCAGCTTTATTCCAGCTCTCGGCCTCTGCAGATAGAGTCCCTCGGGGCAGTGAGGTCAGAGAGCACAGGGTGTCCCCTGTGGGGACAAGGGCTCCCCCCCCCTCTCTCTCTCTCTCTCTGCAGGGTCCTCCCCAACACTCCCTGTCCTCGGCCATGGCCTTCCCATGAGGCCTGAGGGCGTCTGGTTGGAGTTGGAGGAAAGGGCCCTGTCCCTGGTCAGTCAGGCCAAGGTTCTGGCCCCCAGTCCAGGGGGACATCAAGCCCCAGCTGTACCCCCACTCTGGCCCTTGTCATAGGGAGAGGCCCCGGCAAAGTCTAGGTCCCTCATAAGAACCTCAGAGCCAGGGACAGTCCCTGAGGAGCGCGGGGAACCAGGACTGGCTGGACGACCCCTTTGAGGGCTGGTCTCCGAGCTGGGGGTGATGTGGGAGACAGGGCCCACCATCGCCACCCTCTGTGCCTCCGTGTGATCACGGCTTTGGGGAAATGGGCCTGAATCAGCAGCTAATTCAGGCTCTGGGTCAGCATCAGATCTGACCCCGAATCCACTTTGCCCTGTTTCCCCGCTGCCCTGCGCCTGCCACCACCCCTGGCCCAGCCCCTCGGCGTCCTCCGGAGGCAGACAGCAGGGGCGATCCTGTTTCACGGAGGGTAGGGTTTCCGAGTCCAGGCATCAGCTTCAGGCTTCTTCTTCCAGAGCTCCTGCCGCCGACGCCCCGGGGCCATGGGGAGCTGACCCAGCCGGGCACCCAGGCCCCCACAGGCCGACCAGGCACGCCTGCTCCTCGCTGCTCCCCGGTGAGTCCTTGCCACCCTACCCTCTGACCCGCCCTGTTCTCCTGACGCTCCCGAGGCATTCTGGGGAAGTTCAGTCGTGAGCTTGGCAACAGGCGTGAGCTCCCAGGTTGGCTCGGTTCCCAGCACGATCTTAGGGAGACGCGTTACTCTCTGGTCCACATTCCTCGCTCATGTGGCTCGGAGCCTTCTAGAACAGCAGGCTCAACCCCCCACCTGAGCCTGGGCTGTCCCCAGACCCCCGCCCACTCTGCCCACGTCTGCTCCAGAAATTCTGGGCCTTCTTGGGGTTGAAGGGGGCCCCAGAGTCCCCTTGCTCAGTGGCCCACGTAAGAGCCACAGGAGAGCAAGCCCAGGAGGCAGAGCAGAACTTGGGCCAGAGAATGGGCTGGCTTCTGGGGGTGGGGGGTGTCGGGCACACAGGCAGCTTCCAGCACCTACCCCACCCCACCCCGCAGGTGCCCGCAATCCCTCCATGACTGCTTCATTTCATTGCTCACACCTTCGCGTCCCAAGCAATGAGCTATTCAACAGGTATGGACAGAGGCCCTTCTCGGGGCAAGACAACACACTAGGTCAGTGATGGTGAACCTTTTGAGCTTGGCGTGTCAGCATTTTGAAAAACCCTAACTTAACTCTGGTGCCGTGTCACATGTAGAAATTTTTTGATATTTGCAACCATAGTAAAACAAAGATTTATATTTTTGATATTTATTTTATATATTTAAATGCCATTTAACAAAGAAAAATCAACCAAAAAAATGAGTTCGAGTGTCACCTCTGACACGCGTGTCATAGGTTGGCCATCACTGCACTAGGTACTGGGGTGACACGGGATCAGAACCCTTGCCCAGGTCACTCTGTGGACAGGGTGATTATCCCAGCTTTCCAGACGAGGGAATTGAGGCCCAGAGAGGTTAAGTAACTTTCCCCAGGGCACACAGCGCACTGCATCCTGGAACCTAGCCGTGGGGAGGTTCTTTAGGGAGGTGAGCCCGAGGCAATAACTCAAGACTCGGGGTGCTTGCAAAAAGGAGAGGCTGCCATTCAGCATCTTGTTGTTCAGTGTCAACATTTAATACCGGCCTTGCCTCCCCAGCCCCGGCTGCCTGTGCAGGAAAGGACAGTGTGGGAGGGCGGGGGCACTGTGGGAGGGTGACCGCCCCATGGAGCAGGGTTCCTCCTCTCCAGCCCCCACAAGGATACCGTGCGTGGCCATGGACCCCAGAATTGGCTGCGGAGACTAGATGAGGCCGGGGCCCACCACAGCATTGGAGGGAAAGGGGTGCACACAGTTCCAGGCCGGGCGTGGGGAGGGGGTGTCGATCTGGCTGGGGAGTCGCCACTAGAGGCTATGCCGGGGCAACTGGATCCACCTGGCTGTGAGCAGGAGCACCTGGTAACCACGTGGGGAGCCATGGCCGCAATCCAGGTGAGAGGAGAGGAGGGTGGGAGAGAGGACATCCCGCAGGCAGACCCCGCAGGACCTGGAAACCGATGCAGGTGTGAAGCCGGGGAGAGTCAGCCGGGCATGAGCTGGGGGACGCAGAAGCCAAGGTGACTCAGACGATCAAGGGGCGCCGAAGGCAGGCCCTGTGACCCCAGGAGTCTCCATTTTACAGGTGAAGAAACTGAGGCACAGGTTCAATGACTTGCACGGGGCTAGTGCTCACAGTTGCAAGTCTCGGCCTGCAGGCTCCAGAGTGAGGGCTTGTAACTAGTGTTACCAGCAAACGGGGGGCCATCCGAGGCCCTGGTGGTGCACAGAACCAGGAGGTCCGGGAGGAGGCCCGTGAGCCCTGCTCCCAGCCGCCCCCAGAGCAAAGTCTTCTCCCCAAAGTCAGGAAACCGAGCCCAGCTCTCCCTGCTGGAAGGCGTTACCCGCGGGTCCCTCTCAGCATTGCCGCGGCTGCTGCTCAGGTTTTAAAGGAAAGAGCCTCGGCCGTGTCGCTATAGGAACACAGCTCTGTCCTTGAGCCGTCCCCGCAGGAGGGAGACAGACGACCCCCGCTGGGCCCACCCCACTCTAACAAGGAAGAGAGCCGCATGCCCAGCCTCCCGGGCCCCCTCCTCCCTCCTAAGCCCTCCCTGTCACCCCGAAGAGCAAACGCACTTCACCTGCGCCTTTAGGGCACGCGTCCTCTCCAGGTGCCGTCTGACTCCCAGCCAGTGTCCTGGAGGGAAGAAACACAGTGTGTTCAGGGGAAAGAGGTTGTTTGCCCCAACACACCGTCTCGGCGGGCGCTGTGCCCGGCCAGTGCCAGATGCTGAGGCCCCAGGCGCTGTGGGGGACTCCAGTCCGATGTCACTTCAGCCTCGAGCGCCCGTGATCCCACTGGAGCCTCCGAGAGCTTGTGTGGAGGCTCCCGCGGGGGAGCGCGGCTACTCGTATGCCCTTGACCCGAGACCGAGACGGGTCCTCTCCTCTGGGGGAAGGCCATCCTTGTCCACTCGGTGCGAGGGCAAGGATGGGCGAGGGAGGAGGGACACCCGCCCACCCCGCCAGCCAGGTCAGCCGAATCGGCCCTGGCGGTCAGTGGAGTGACATGTCAGCCAGGCCGCCCTCACAGCCCCCTGGAGCCCGAGAATGCTGGTGGAGGGACAGACATAGGGCCCCGCACTCTGCACGCGGATCCAGGACCCTGCCCGGCGCCATGGGAGCCGCCCCCAGATACCCCAGCCCACAGCCCCCCTCACCAGGGTGCCCCCACCCCCAGAGCATCCGCTCCTCCCAGGAGCCAGGAGGGCAGCCCAGGGGCAGAGCCCACTCCAGTCCTGGCTCATGCGGTTATTGTCCCTTAGCAGTGAGACGAGCGGACAGGATACGGACACACTGCGACACTGTAGGCTGTCCTGTCCCCTGTGAATGAGACTTCCCAGGCTGCGACCCTCGCCCCAGCTCGCCTGCCTTCAGTGTCCTTAGCACATTGCGGACCAGGAGTTTCCTTGCCAGCTTTGCCCAGTGGCCAGATAAGTCTCTACTGAACGAGTACAAAAAACGTTTTACATAGGTGTTAAAGGCACGCCTTAAAATTAAATACCCATCGCATTTTGAAGTTATTTATCACATGTTCTCACAAGCTAATGTCTTTTTAAAGGATGATACTTTGTAAAACACTGTGTCATATGAAAACACGAGGATTCTCGTGATCCGTCCGCAATGTGTTAAGTTGAAACCAAAGTGTGCGTGGGGCCGAGGAAGGAACCTCAGGCTGTTTGTGGGTGCCCAAGCCCCGCGGGACGCTCCCCTTAGCGCCCCCCTCAACGCACACACACAACCACCTACTTCCCACCTGCCGAAAGGGGTTTTTAGAAATCAAATCATTTCCCATAAACATCCTGGACTTAGGCCACACACATGCAAAAGAATAAAATTAAAATACCAACAGTTGTTGGCTTCTAAAGTTCCTGCGATGTGGGGAAGCTGGCGAAAACGACAGCTATAATCTAATGATCTTTCCACCCTGTACACGTGCAACCTCATGGACTGTGCCCTCCGAGCAAGCCTCGGAGTCCTCACAGGGCAGGGGCGAAGGCACAGAGAGCTCCCTGCCGGTGCCCACCCGGCCTCCAGCCTCACCTCTTTCCTCCCAGCGGGACCCACGGGGCTGTGTCTCCACGCCGCTCGCCACGGGGCCCAAGAGGAGGAGGCGGGTGCTGAGCAGGGGTGGCTTCCAGATGTGTCTTGAAGCTGAAACCGAAAGAATCCGTGAGGGCCTGGCTGTCCAGTGAGAGACAGGAGCTGAGGGTGAGACTGGGCGAGGAAGTGCGGGGTGCCCGGAAGGCCGCACACAAATGCGTGATTAACAATGTGTTAGCGTTAGGAAACGTTAACTCCTCGCCCACGGTGGCCGCTACCGACGACTGCGTATGGAGGCCCCTTTGTCTGGAGAAAGTTGTCCTTTCTCGGCCCGGCTCCCTCTCCCCGATGTCGTCTAGTTATTAGTGTGTGCAGACTCGGGGTGCAAACCGATCTCAAGGGAAGAATGTTGCCAAAACCACCAGGAGGTTCCTCCCCCAGCTGAGCATAAATCATCCCTTAGTCCAACGACCTACCTTCCGTCGAGGACCCAGGGCCAGCCGTCCCCTCCTCGCTCCCACCTGACGCGCCTCTTCTCCCCGCAGCTCCCCGCAGGCCGGGAAGACCGAGGTCTCCACTCCGCTCCCTGCCTCCCCTAGGATGGATGGATGCGGCTGGAAGGAAATGGAGGTGGCTCTGGTCAATTTCGATAACTCAGACGAAATCCAGGAACAGCCCGGCTACGACCCGGACCTGAACCCCACCAGCGCCCCCAGAGGCCGGCCTGGGGCCGGCCCCTTCTCCAGCTGGAAGCTGCTCCTCGGCGACAGTGGCAGCCACGAGACGGCCTTCTGCCGGCTCCCGGGAGACTACCCGGACCCCCCGGGGCCGGAGCCCGCGGCCCTGAACGAAGGGAACCAGCGGGTGATCATCAACATCGCGGGGCTGCGGTTCGAGACCCAGCTCCGCACCCTCACGCAGTTCCCAGAGACCCTCCTGGGCGACCGGGAGAAGCGGATGCGCTTCTTCGACTCCATGCGGAACGAGTATTTCTTTGACAGGAACCGGCCCAGCTTCGATGGGATCCTGTACTATTACCAGTCCGGCGGGAAGGTGCGGCGCCCGGCCAACGTCCCCGTCGACGTCTTCGCCGACGAGATCGCCTTCTACGAGCTGGGCAGCGAGGCCATGGACGAGTTCCGGGCGGACGAGGGCTACATCAAAGACCCCGAGACGCTGCTCCCCACCAACGACTTCCACCGGCAGTTCTGGCTCCTGTTCGAGTACCCCGAGAGCTCCATGGCCGCCCGGGGCGTGGCCACCGTGTCCGTGCTGGTGGTCATCCTGTCCATCACCATCTTCTGCATGGAGACGCTCCCCGAGTTCCGCGAGGACCGGGAGCTGAAGCTGGTGAGGGACCCCGGCCGCAACGTCAGCAGGCTGGTCCTCTCCCCGTCCATGTTCACCGACCCCTTCTTCATGGTGGAGTCCACCTGCATCGTGTGGTTCACCTTCGAGCTGGTGCTCCGGTTCGTGGTCTGCCCCAGCAAGGCCGGCTTCTTCCGCAACATCATGAACATCATCGACATCATCTCCATCATCCCCTACTTCGCGACGGTCATCACCGAGCTGGTCCAGGAGACGGAGCCCAGCGCTGAGCAGAACATGTCCCTGGCCATCCTGCGCGTCATCCGGCTGGTGCGGGTCTTCCGCATCTTCAAGCTCTCCCGCCACTCCAAGGGGCTGCAGATCCTGGGCCAGACGCTGAAGGCGTCCATGCAGGAGCTGGGGCTGCTCATCTTCTTCCTCTTCATCGGCGTCATCCTCTTCTCCAGCGCCGTCTACTTCGCCGAGGTGGACGAGCCCGAGTCCCATTTCTCCAGCATCCCCGACGGCTTCTGGTGGGCCGTGGTCACCATGACGACCGTGGGCTACGGCGACATGTGCCCGACCACCGCCGGGGGCAAGATTGTGGGCATCCTGTGCGCCATCGCCGGGGTCCTGACCATCGCGCTCCCGGTGCCCGTCATCGTCTCCAACTTCAACTACTTCTACCACCGGGAGACGCAGAAGGAGGAGAGGCAGAAGAACATGCCGCAGGAGATCAACAAGATCGCCCCCAGCGTGGGCTCGAGGACGGGCAGCGCCGACTCGCTCAGCAAGACCAACGGCGGCTGCTCTGCAGAGCAGTCCCTGGAGTGAGCTGTGCCCGCTTCCTGGCCGCGGGTCCCTCTGTCTCTGCGTCTCTGTGTCTCTGCCTCTCTCTCCCTTCCCCTGCCTCTTCCGCTCTGTTTTCCCAAAGAGCAAAACGTACCTTCGCGGCCAGCAGGCCACCTCTGACTGCAAGCCGTTTCAATAAACACGTTCTGCTGCTGCTGCTGTTTTCTAAGCTGTTTCTTCTCCACCGACCACACGAGAAACGGGATTTCCCTCTCTCCTGGGAGGGGCCCTGCAGGTCCTGCGACTCACCTGTGGTTCCCAAGACCAGCTGCCAGCTCGGTCAGCAGCTCGCCTCCTGCTGGCACTGCCCAGCCCTCGCCCTGCTCTGGGCACAGTCCCCTCCCACAACTTGCTCAGAGGCCCTCTGAGGAGGCACCGCTGGTGCGGGAAGGTATGAGGCAGGCGCTTCCGGTGGCAGAAACCCAACTTGGACGGAACCGAGAGAAAGAGAGAGAGAGAGAGAGAGAGAGAGAGAGAGAGAGAGAGGACTGTACCTGCTCACCGACTGAGATGCAGGGAACGGGCTGTAGCTCCGAGTGCGTCACCGTCAGAGCTCTGGCCACGTCTGTCCATCTCCTCCCTCTGCTGGGGGCTTCGTGCCCTTGAGGCGGGCATTCTCCCGGGGGCAGGGGGCATGGCAGTCCCAGGCCACAGCGTGTCTCCATCGAACCAAAGAAAAATAAATAAATAAATAAATAAATAAACAAACAAACATATACACACACACACACACAATCACCTTCCTACCTAATTAGTATCTGTAATTCCGCGCAAACATGTTAGGTCCAGAAGTAGGGATTTTCTGTCTGGTCACCGCTGTGTCCCCAGGGCCTGTCCAGCACACAGCAGGGACCAGGAACTAGGTGGTGCCTTGATGAACTGTCCCTTCAAGCCCTCCCTCCAATGACCCTAAAGAGACCAAACTTAGCTACTCTGCGGGCTGGTAGGTTTCATTCTCCCACCCCCACTCTCCCCCAAACTCCAGGCCATAGGCTGCGGCCGGCCACTCCTTAGTGGGGGTATGAGTGCAGGGACCCTGGAAGGCGCTGCAGGGGAGGCTGCTCTGCCTGGTGGAGGCTTGGAGGGGGTAGGAGAGCAGGACCCCCGGCCTCTCTGAGCCCCCATTTGGAAGGTCTCTCAGGAGGTGGTGTCTCAGACCCCCTCACAGGCCTTCCAGGGGAACCCCTGAGCCCGTCTCCATAGCATCCGGAAGCCCTGCCTCCGGGGGGCGGCGTAGACGGCTCCCCTGGAGCCCAGACCCTGCCCCAGCCCCACACACTGACCAGCCGGCCCCCCCTCAGCAGCCACCTGCTCCCGGGAAGTCCTGCTCCGGCCACCTGCACCCCAGCTGCTGAGGACCAAGGCCCCACCCTCTACCCCTGTCCCCTCCATATTAGGTCCTGGGGGGGGCAGAAGGGACACCCAGCCCCCCCCCCTCGGCAGCTGCCCAGCTCCTAGAAAATAAAGCGCAACCACCCCATGCAGGGAAGCGCCCCAGCGGCTCTCTGAAGGGAGGAAGAAAGCCGTGGGGGTCTCCCCAGAGACCACGGTGTCGCCCAGGGCAGATCTTAGAGACGGAGGCCGCCGGCTTCGGCTTCAATCGCAGGGATGAAAGGAGCTGGGGTGGCCGGCCCGGGAGGCGGGTAACAGGAAGATCAGACACATCCTGTGATTGCTTCTCAGGGGAGGCAGAGGTAGAAAGCCGCCTGCGAAATGTCACCGGATAATGAATGCTGCTTCCCTCGTCTCCGAGGTGCCTGTCAGGCGCCTGGGGAGGGAATGACAGCGAAGCTCATTAGGAGTTTCGAGCGGATCTGCTTTCTCCCCCGAGCCACAGGGGCCCCAGCTGAGCCCCCTCCTTCCCACCACCACCCTCACGGTCTGTCGCTAACAAATAATCCAGGCAAGTGTGATAGAAAAAAATACGTGGGACAGAAATAATAACACCAAGCCCCCAGGGTGGTGGTGGGAATTCAATCAGGTAACGGAGGCAATTCCTTAGCAAAAGGTAAAACGCGGGGGACAGGCGGACACAGCAGGATGGAGACAGATGAGGCCCAGGATAAGGGCTCGCCCGCAAGGGGTCACCCTTCAGGGGCCACGCTGGGCCCTGTAACGTCATAATCCCCGCCCAGCGTCCGCTGCAAAACAGCCCAACAAACGAAGGAAGAGAAGAGGAAGGGAGAGAAATGGAGATGACACAACGAATGGATTGTGTCCCCTGAGAATGGATTCGAACCGGCAGCATCCAGCACAAAATGAAAGGCTTTGATAGGCAGGAGGGAGCGGAACCAGGAGGTTCTACTGGCAAAACATGCGGGTTGGTTATGGCAAAGTGACTTTCCTTCGGGGATGGCTGGGGTCTCTCACCAGGGCTCCAACCGGTGCCGACCGGCGGCTCCTGACCCACTGGTTTAAGATTCCGTTTCTGGGAGAGCCACAACTAAGTCCCAGTTTGGTGACCAACGTGGGGCTTGGCATAAGTGACTCCATCCTGGGCCTGCTGTCTGGTTTCTAACAGCATCACTGGACTAAGGAGACAGTCAGAGCTGCCAAACGTTCAAGGGCAAGTCCTGGGGATGGTGCCTGGAGCCCTGCGGAGCTCGGTGGCAGCCAGCCTCCAGCCAGCCCACAGCCACTCCCCCTCCCTGGCCAGCCCCATCCCATCGCAGCTCTCGGCTGCCCTCTGGCTTCAGCTCTCTGAACTTCCAGAGAACCCTGCCGAGACCCTGGGGCCACCTCTTGGGTCGGGGTGGGGGTCGGGGGGAGGCCCTGCAGGTTGTCCGGAGGCTGGGACGACCTGGGAGCTTGTCTGGAGCAGCGGAGTCAGGGGAGCTAGTCCCAGGCCGGCCCCAGGGAAGGACAGGCACCCACGAGGCAGCAACGTGGGGACCACCTGACCGGTGAGGTTTCCAGGTGCCCGGGCTGCTTCCCTTCCCCACCCCCACCCCCTTCAGATCCCTGTCCCACGTCGGAGGTTCGGAAACAGGCTGCACAGGGACCGCACCTTCTGGACTGAAAACTGGGGTTCTCGCTGTGCAAGAAACAGTCTGGCAGCGGGCGCTTGGATTCAGAACGAGCTGCTTGTTTAGGACACTGCAGTCAAAGGAGAGGGTCATGCGACAGGGCATGTAAAACCTAACACCGCCCCCGCCCCCCCAATAAATCTCACGGCGCCCAGGTCCTTTTGTCCCTTGAGGTCCAACCAGCCCCAGAATGAGCTGTTTCCGAGCAGACCTGGGCAGCTTTAGGCCTGGGGGAGGGGCTACCTCTCAGGGCTAGAAGGGGAAGGAGTGATGGGCGGAAGGATGGTGTGGGGCTGACAGGCAGTGGGGAGAAAGGACACCCCTCCTAAGACTATGTTATGTGCCTCCAAAAGGAAGTGTTGAAGCCTTAATCCCCACTGTGACTGGCTTCGGAGCCAGGGTCTGTAAAGAGGCAACTAAGGTTAAATGAGGTCATAAAGGTGGGGCCCTAATCCCATAGGGCTGATGTCCTTAGGAGGAGGAGACACCAGGGATGTGCGGGCACAGAGGAGGCAGGTGAGGACACAGAGAGAAGGCGGCTGTCGGCAAGCCGAGGAGAGAGGCCTCGGGAGAAACCAACCCTGCCGACACCCTGATCTTGGACTTCCAGCCTCCAGACTGTGAGGAAAAATTGTGTTGCCTACAGCAACCATAGGTGGTGTCTGCTTATGGCAGCCTGAACTGACGAACACGCCACGGGAGACGAGGAGGAAGGCACAGACGTCAGGGTGGTCTGAGGAGAGGGGGTCCCAGCGACCTTTCCCAGGGAGCACCCCCTGGGCAGTAGAAAGCCCGGCCTCTCTACTCAGGTCTAAATAAGTCCTTAGAATCCAGGCCAAGTCCATAGCCCAAATGCCACCAAGAAACTAGGATATCTGCATGGCACCGTCTGCACCGGCCTGTCAATCGATCCATTCATCTGCCTCACAGGCCCAAGCCAATGGTTTCTGAAGTTCCCCAGATCCCAGTCTATTCTCTCCCTCTCTGGCCTGGTCTCCCTGGAAACGTGTGGACTCGGGAAAGTCCTTGGAGATGCCCTACTGTTTGTATGTTATGCCAACTCGCCAGGGCCAGGGGCCAGGTACTGGAGCTCTGGCCCAAGCTCCCCTTCAGCTTGGAGCCACCTGCCTCCCTCTCTCAGAAGCTGAGGCCCAGACACTGGCCACCAGGGGGACTCAGGGAGCCCCAGGGACACCGCCTGGGCATCTGAACAGCTAGTCAGCCCACAAACCCCTTCATTGCTTATGATGACTCTCTCTGGATCAGAAATGCCCCCCGGGGAGCGGATATGGGGACAGCTAAGATTGGGGCTGACCGGCAGGACATCCCAGGCCACAGTTCAGAGCTGCAGGGGGTGTGGCTGGCCCCCACCCAGGACACTCCTGGACACAGGAGACACCTGTCTCCAGGGGCTCCTTGTTCCCTCTCACAAGCCCTAAAAATAAAGCTCCCAGGACGCAGTTATTCTGGTCTCAGCGCTAAACGCGGCCCCGGGAAAGAAAGGGGCTCTCGGGTTTCGCGGCTGGGCCAGAGGAGAGGCAAGGACAAAAGGCGGGGGATGGAGCTTTGGCGCTGGCACTGAGGAAACCAAGGCCGCCAGCCCAGAGGAGGTGGCCGGGCCATGCGCAGTCCCTGAAAAGGGGGCACAATTCCACCAGCCAGATGGGGAGACAGCTTCAACCCCGAAACTGCAGTGAGTGCGTAATGCACCAGGTCCTGGCTGCCCTCCAAGCTCCCCGGAGCTGTCGCTCCTTGGGGTGAAGGGCCGTGCCACCGACTCCAGGGGCTGATGCTACCCCCACGCCCCTCGGGCACACACAACAGGCACATCCTTGCCGGCCCAGCTCTAGTCCAAAATGCACGTCTGCTATCACGGATGATCCAGAAAGATGTGAGAGGGCGGGCACCAGAGAACAAAGACTGAGAAAGAAAAAGCTACCAAGCGCGACGTCCACTGACTGCGGGGTTTCGGGACAGGGACCAGGCCTGCTATGTCTGTGCCTCCTGCATTGTGCCTTGCGCATAGTAGGCACTTAGTAAATCCTATTGTTTGCATGGCCATTGCCCTGGGAACCTGGGGTGGGGAGGAGTAGGAACGTTGCAGGATATAAAACAAGGTGTACAAAGCCGGCGTTTGAGATTTCACCACTAGGGGGCGCTCCAGGACAAGCGCTGACACCTGGCCGCCCCCACCCTGATTTGGAGCTTAGAGGGGACAGTTTGTGGTTTGTTTATTCAGGCAAGTACGTCTACTGAACAGTTAATTATTCTGCGTCAAACACTATGTGCCGGGCAGGATACAAAATGATTTTGATGTGACTCCTGCCCTCCGCGAGGGGGTCATCTCATTAGAAATAAGGGCGGCATAAACAAAAACTAACATATCCACGTTTGCTTGCTGGTCACTTCTATTTATGGAGGGTGGATTCATCTGCACACACTTTACCCATCATGCCTGTCTCGCCTCATATCCGCACCCCTTACCGCTCACGGCTTTGAGCCTTCCCTTCCCACCTCAGCATCCTTTTCCCGTGACGCTTAAAACCATGTGATACACCACACAGTTTACACACTTATCATCTCCATTGTCTGCGTCCCCACAGCGCTCCCTGGGGGGGGGCGGAGGGACCCTCTGCTGTGCCCTCTGATGGACACAGTACACGGAACAGTGCTTCGCACAGTAGGTACAAAAAACACCCTTTTAAATAAATAAGACCGGTGGCAATTCTAATTAGCCCCGAGTACACCCAGTGGCCAGGAGCCAGCCAGCATCCTCCTGCGGTGGGAGGGGTCTTCTCGGAGGAGGTGACCTTTCTGCTGGTTCTGAAGGAGGAAGAGCGGTTCCCAGGTGGGAGACAGTGGAAAGGAGCCTCAGGCAAAGGGAACAGCATGAGCAGGTGCTCAGAGGACAGGGCAGACCAGATGTCCCTCAGCAGGGAGGTGCTGCATGTCCTGGCTATTTGGGGCCCCCAACCATGACCAGGGCTACTGGGCAGTAGCCAGCCTCATCCCTCTGCCTGCCCCAGGATGCCCCTCGGCCCACGGCCCCTCTGCCTGCTGCCGCTCTCCACCTGCCTTTTCGGGGTCCAGGGCTCGCCGACCTGGGCAACCTCTCTCACTCGGCTCTATTCTCCTTCCAACAAGAAACAAACCACACAGCTCAGAAAACAATCCATCATCCTGTCACAACATTTCCATTTCAAAGGTCTCCTTCCTCAGCTTCTCTCTGGCCAAATGCTTCCTCTCATTAAGGAGGCACCGGCAGGAGAAATGAGTGACAGGGAAGGGAGAGGAAATGGAAATGAGGCTGTGGACCTGGGCTCTGCCACCATCTGGGCAGGGGCAGGGATACCATGTGTCTGTGTGTGTCTGTGTGTGTCTCTGTGTACATGTATGTTATGTTATGTGTCTGTGTACTTTTGTGTATATGCATACGTGCCGTGTGTCATGTGCATGTATCGTGTATTGTGTGTGTCTCTGTGTGTGTATGTATGTTATGTATCTGTACTTTTATGTATGTGTATATGTGTTATGTACATGTATCGTATGTTGTGTGTATGTCTCTGTGTCTGTGTGTATATGTATGTGTCTGTGTGCTTTTTGTGTATATGTGTTGTGTGCATGTGCATGTATTGTATGTTGTGTGTGTGTCTCTGTGTCTGTGTGTACTCGTGTTTGTGAACTCATGTTTCTCAGTGCTCATGATTCATGCCAGTCAAGCAGAGATCTGCCCGCTC